TTTGTCTGTTGGCTTCAAAATTAGGGTTTATTCCCAGTAATATTGAAGAATACAAGGAAAAAATGCAGACAAATATGGACGAGAAAGCCTGGTGGTGTTTGTTTGTTTGTTGAATCTTAAGAATCATTAAATTCATCGATTGAACAAGTTGAAAGTGCTTTAAACTTTTACTACAAACAATTTTGATTTGTGGATTTTATGCAATTCATGAAGACAAAATTTAGTGAAAATCACTAACTCACGAAATTCACAAAAAATGTGTCCCCTGTGAAATAAAAGCATTTCACAATATCATTATATTAACAAGTAAGATTTAATTAACCTAATTTGCTCATTGGCATGCTTAATTGGATTTAAATATGCATTTAATTATCAATGTTTCCAGATTCACATAGCAACCAACATTCCCCCCTTAGCCCATGAATATAATATACAAGTTTTGACTTTGATGTTTTGTATTACTCACAGGAAATTGTACTCTGGAATAAATTTAGTCAATTTATTTATTGATCTGCTTTGTTCTATGTATAAATTTTCCAAATATGAAATGGGAAAAATTAATGTTTTCACCCTGTTCCTTTATGCCGAAATTTGATATTTCACGCCTTTCATTGAGGCAGCGGTATATTCACTCATAAATCTAGAACAAAATGTGATTTTGTTCTTGGTATCTGCTTTCTTTCTATTCAGATTTGTGATTTCTTGGGCATCTTATCCAAATTTCTGTGTCCAAAAATATATTTGTCCTTTCTTAGTTATAGCTAAGGAGATATTAGTTGGATAATATATTATACATATATGTTGTGTACATTACACTATAATCTGATACATCTTGCCGAACTTGACGTAGTGATATGGCATTGTACTAACTATGCAAGCTGGTGAAAATAGTGGAATTCTCTCACTATTAATATTTTTTTTTTCAAAGATGTCCACCATTTTGGAAATATCTATTTGATTCATAATTAATGAAGAAATTATCGAAAAATATTTAAAAATATGCAAAATTTTACATTAAAATTTTTGCAGAGAAATATATTGTGTTCAAACGATTAATGTTAATATTTATAAATTTATAACAGTAGCTTTGTCAATAAAAAAAACTACCAGTAGTTGCATTTGACAATGAGATGCATGCTATGCTCTCTTAGATTGCAAGAAATCTGACATTGAAACTGCTGTATGCCATTTTTTTGGGAACAATGTCAATGTACATTAATAAATTTGAAAGTTTTCCAATAGACTAGGAGTCTTTATTTCATAAAATCTTAGAAATTTATGCTAATTGTTTACTTATTATTTATTATTGTTGTTTGTGACAGTGTTTGTTCTTTTGTTCATTTTTGGTGTTAAATTTTGTAATTTCAAGTATTCTAAACTATTCAATAAAAAGTTTGGTGCTGACATTATTAAAGTCTTTCAAGAAAGATGCAAATAAATGGTTTCAAGAT